TCTAGATAAGGGCTGTCACGGTAAAGATTAAATGATGCAAAAGACTCAAGTCTACAGGAATTTTTAAATGTTTGTCAATGGCAAAGCTCCCTTTGACTTCAGTGGCTCAAACTCTGACTCATGAGAATCCATTTTCACTGTTTCTTCAGTTTCTTCCTTTTTGCCTGCAGAAATGAAAAAGTCACTGCTGAATAGGACTCTTCCAAAGCTACCTTGTTATGACCGGGATCATTCATTGAGTTTGCATTCATAATGCTGGTTCATTTAGTTCTTTACGTTCTTACTCCCAAGAATGACTGTATTTTTACAGTTTGCTTCTTTGCTTCTATAAATTGTGCATGCTGACTTTTCATTTAACTCAGAAGGCTGACATAAGTCTTTATAATACAGTATTCAGAAGTTCAGAAAGATCAAAGATGGTCAATGTTGTGGCGGGAATGATGCGGCGTATTTTATGTAAATGCCTCAAAAAAAGTCTTACATTGCTAAGTCTTTCAGTAGAAAAATATGTCACACTGGAGAAAATAGTGTGCAGGAGCTCTCTCTATCTATCTGTCTTAGAAAATGTATGCACCTGTTTGTTTGTTTGTCAGTGAGTCTGTCTGCAAGTCTGTTTGTTCAAGAACTTCTCCTAAATGTTAAGAAATAGGACCACCACATTGAATATGCAGCTTCCTCTTATCCTAACTTAAAGCAAGGTCAGGGTTTGGTTGTGCCAGGAAAATGGGATGTGCCTGGAATGGGAATGTTTTCCCTAACACAGAAATGGAGGGGGCTGATTAGAGGGTCAGTGACAGTGCAGAGTGACCTGGGGGACAGCCTCATCAGCAAGAGAGTGGGCAGCTGAGGCTCACCAGCTTGCCAGCTACTGGACTGGGTAAGTGCCCACCCTGCCCCAAACTCCTCCCACCAGCCCTCAGCCATAGCACCAGACTGGGACAGGGAAGGGCCCTACCAGCCAGCAACTCTGCCATCCCCCAAAAGAGCAACAGCTTACTGCCAGACCACCCAGCACACCCATCCTCTGGAGAGCACAGTTGGGGATGGCCCTCCCACTATGGCCTGGCCCCCAGGGAGAACCTGGAGGGCTGGTGTGCAGTCCCTTCCTGCCCCAGTGAGAAGCCAGTGGGTGGGTTGTGCACTCCTTGGTCTGGCCCAGGGGAAAAGCTGGAGGGCAGGGTGAATGGTCCCCTCCCTCTCTGCCCTGGGAACAAGCTGATGGGTGGTGTGGGGTGCACAGACTCTGGCGTGGGGTGCACAGACTGCTTCTTTCAGCCCCCTGCCCTGAAGCACATGAGCAATGCTGGGTAAGTCTTCTGACGAGGAATAGAATGATGAATCTTGCAATTTAAAAGAAAGCAATGGGAATTAAATTCCCTGTGTGTCAGAAAAGGAAGCGAGAGTTTTCTGTGCCATGAGCACAAGAGGAGATTGATTACAGCATATGTTTGATAAAGAGATGACAAATTGCATGTGGTCTGGGAGGAAAAAGGTCCCTTATGTTTACATGCCTAAAACAAGCATTATAGTGCATTTGTATAGAGTAGAATAATTACTGTATATGTGATCTGGGAATAGGTCACCCTATATGTTTATATGACATGCAGCAGGAGGGAGAGATGAAGAAAGGTTATAATGTTCAGAGTAGTGAAGCTTTAACAGCACCTGCAGCAGAGAATGTGGATCTTCTTAGGCAGAAGCAGAAGCAACAACAAATGTCTTTTTTTCTATGTTTGTGTTCTTTCCTTGTTCTGAAAGTATCTATTGTTTTGATTTCTGAACCAATGCAAAAATGCTATTAAAATATAGTTGTCAGTAGTTAAAATAACCTGGAAAGACACTTAAATAATAAATAATGGTAAGTCTTGCTGTAAATTATAAAACAAGATAGATTCTGTACTCAGAGTGAAAGAAAGAACATGCTAAGTGTTGAGAAGGTATCACAGGATTATAGCTAATTAGGATGACAGTTGTTAGCATTTTTATAACCTATAGTAAAATAGCTTCTCTGTTGGTCCCTGTATTAATATTTTTGTTTAACAGCTATTTCCACACCTCAGAAATTATGATGGATCTTCCTGTGTTTTTCATTAAAAAAAATATATTTAGGTTAGCACACATATCATTAAATCTGAGGTCTCAAGCAACCCCATTGGGATGCCTTTCTAAATTGCACTATGAGATGCCAGCTCAGACAGCTTCTTGCAGAAAATAGAGAATGCAGAAATATCCTACATGTTTCCTTCAGTAGCTGATCCCCACATGGTATGCATGTGGAGCTTAAGTGCTTTGGGAGACGTCTACACAGCAGTGTTATTTTCAGGATAACTGACATTATTCAGAAATAACATAGTCCGCGCATACTACAAGCAATTTTTTGACATAATGTCAAAGAACTGGAGGACTTCTTACTCCAACTCCTGTAATCATCATTTTACAAGGACTAAGAGCAGTCGAAGGATGAGTACCTTGGACTTCCTGCCATGTAGACAGTGCCAAAAGCCGAAATAGGCTATTTGGTCTTAAGCTACGCAGTTGACGTAGTTCAGGTTGCATAGCTTATTTCAGCTTCAGCCCTGCTGTGTAGACATGCCCTTTGAGAGCCTTGCACTGCCCTTCTACATCATGAGTGAATTTTCCCTAAGAGTTCATCCTGAGAAGTTTTAGAACACTGCCAAAAATTAAGCTCGAAAAACAGTCACAGCTTATTCCATGAGAGAAGAAAACCATGCTGCTTGCGTTGGTGAATGTCTAAGGTACTAAGCAATTCTAGCATGAGAGATGCCCAGATATTTATGGAAAAGTCAGAGTTGTGGGGTAGTAGTTAGTGAGTCAGGAGGAAAACGCTAACTTCTGTCATACGGTACATTTTGTTCTAGTTGCCTACACATATGGGGCTTCTTCCAATTTCCAACTCTGAGTAGCTGAGTATCAGACTCCCTGTGTGCTGTAAAAAATGTACAGTTCTGCACTGGTCAAAGGCAGAATGGTCCTAATAAATCCCACAAAACTCGAGAAATGAGATGCAGTGGCAGGTCAGAGAGATTTATGCACTGGGACAGTGTAGGGTCCCATCCATATTTTCTGTTTCCTACAGGCAAAGCTGTTTCTTGCAGTACCATGAAATCAGCTGGGTGGGGCTATAATCCCATTCTAAAGTTTGTAATTTATTTTTAGTAGAAACCATTGGGTTAGGTTCTCAGCTGGTGGAAATCAGCATAACTCTATTGACTTCAAACTGATCTACACCAGCTGAGGCTATAGTCTATGAGGTAAACTGGGGAACAATGTGATACTATAAGCCTTTTTTACTACATCACCTGTACTCTGTTCATTAATCCACCTCAATATCCCAAATGCTTAAGCAGCTTCAAAGAGTTTTATTTAACACAGCCAGCCATATAAATATTTCCTTTTAGTTCTGAAAAAAAGTGGAGCTACAGTATAAACAGGTATTAAAATAAGTACCATGTGCTGTTGCTTTTATGACTGTATTTGTGGTAATGAAAGTTAAAAAATTGCTCTGATACAAACTGTGCAGGCACCACCTTGGTTCAGGCTTATTGTCATCCTTTTCCTCCTCCTCTGGATTATTTAATTTCTGACTGTCATAATAGCATTTAGGATGTCAAACTGCTGCAGAGGCTTGTGGGATTTTCCTTTCTAAATAGCTGTTATGCTAGATGAAATGTCAATTGCACAGTTTTTTTTAAAGTGCGCTAATGTTTTTAGTGCACATTAAGAAAACAGATTTTTAGAATGGTCATGTGAATAATGCAACATGTATTTCTATAAGGCTTTTAACGGCAAATATGTGACCAAAATATATGGTTGCATTTATTTACGTATAGCTATATTAAAATGTTAACTCAAACTGAACCATTTACATGCTTAATCCATTGCAGATGTAATGGTCAGTGAACTATTTCTGTAAACCACTTCTGTTGGCATTCAGAGCTTCCTGTAGTATTGATTCAATTTTGGCCAACTTGCTCAACTTTAAGCAGAATAAGCTAGTGCCAAGCTATGCATCAATGACATATGTATGCCTCGGAAACCCCACACAATGGCAAATTTCTCTAGTCTGTATGACCACTTTGTAAATAATTAGACTAGACGTGGTACTAAATAGGAACCACAAACAAATGTGCCCTTATAGATATTAATATAGTCCAGTCTCTTAACAAAGTGAACAATTGCCCAAATAATGATTTCCTGCTGTGAGCTTTTTATGCTTTGTTTGTTAAATCCTATTTTCCTTCCTACTTTCCTGTTGACTGCAACAGAATTGAATTTTGTTCAGCCCATCTCTCATGGGTCAGCAAAACTCTCTGCCTTTGTGAAAAACAAGTTAACTTGTTGAGCACTGCCTATTTACAAATATATCTCAGCACAGTTGGCTTTCAAGTTCCTCCTCCTGGCAAAGGGAAGGGGTTAATACAGTGTTTTACTAAATGGTGAGAGAAATGGGAGACAGATACATATTTGCTAATGTATTTAAATCCAGAGCCAGGGTTCACTGTACCATGGTTTGGTTTGGTTTCAGTTCAAAACACTTTAAGAAAAAAGTGACTGTTATTTTTTTCACAGTAGTTGATCATTGACTTAATAAGATAGGCAAAAAGTTGTGCTAAATGTATATTATTAGTAATTGATACCATCATAAACCCTTTAAGAAGTGAGAATATGATTGAAGTCACTTCTATGGAACACCACATATATTTCATTGAAGATAATGGTGATACCTCTTCATATTCATTGTTTTACTAGCATTGGAATACTGCAGCCAAGGTAATTTTCCATCTGTTACTGAATTAGTGATGTTGGGTTTATCTGTCTAATTCATATTTAGAAAACTTCTGTCATCATTTTTATCAGTTCTGGGCAGAGAGAACAATATTTGTAATTTACATTTTAATGGTGGCAAGCAACATTATTATACACAAATTTGAAGCAGTTATCATTATGAATACCACTTCCCATAATCTTTATATTCACAGTTGGAGAACTAAATGGATTTGTAGAAACTGGAATTACTCTGTTTAAACAAGTGCAGATGTTGCAAATGCAAGAGAAGGAAAGGTAAAGATGAGAAAGCTACAAATTTGATCAAGAGCACTCAATCAGATTTTGATACTTTTTAATTATCTTCCTTATTCGTTATAAAAAAACTGTAAAAAAATAAGCCCGTGTCAGTGAAAATGGTATTATCAGTACTATCACTGTCACAGATCATCTAAAAAATATTAGAAGGTATCTTTGTGTCATTCTTTCTTGCCTGGGGTTTTTTATTCTTGGCTTTGGGCTGAAATAAAATCTCTTGCCTGGTTTTCAACCTAGCAATCAGTCTGTCTATAGTCAACTGATAGATGCTTCAAATAAGAATGTAAACAGTTTTTCATATTAAAATCATAGTTTTAGCAGGGAGGGAAGAAGTACCACCATCAAAAGAAATATTTTTTAAGCATTCAGCATGTGTTAAAATAGTTTCTTTGGTATTCTTGAGAATGAGTTTCACTTCGTAGCTTCATGTGATCTTAAAAGCTACATAAAGGCATCTGAATCACATTCCCAATTCTCATTTTACCAATTTTTCCAGTATTTTCTGGGTTCTTTCATCTGCTCAGGTGGTATTGACTGAATGCTGAGCTTTCTGATGAAAAAAAGGTTTGAGAGACACAACAAAGGGAAGGTAATTGATTATGTAACAGAAGAAAGTCTAAAGCTAAGCCTTCCAAAATTGCTTCCAATATGGTGATAGTTGTAAAAGCCATTGAAATTGCAGTAGCATATTTCCCATAGTCTTCAAAACCTTTGGGGAAAGATGAAACAATACATAGCTTTATATTTTCGAAAGCTTGGGTGAAAAAATCCCAGTTGCATAAAAATGATCATCTCCTGAATTAATTAAATGTGCTGTTCAGGACATGTCAGTCCTAAAAGTTTGAATTTCTTTATTTAAAGCTACAGTTCAGCTTTATGTCAATGTCTCTATGTGTGGGCTTGTATAGGTATGTAGAGCAGGCTATCTGGGACTATCTATTGCCATAGCCAGAAATGGAACTAGCATTTTTGGATGGGCCTGTGAATCAGTTTTTCCTCCCTAATCAACTTTTGTCTACCTTGAAAAGTGCACAGAGTCACCCTGACTATTACTGCTTAATTTTCTATCAGTCTGAGTATGTACTGGGGGCTAAGGGTGTTAACTATCATTTATTTGTGTAAACATGTAACCACTGGAAATTCTAGAATTTACATGGGGGTGCTCAGCTATTAAGTAAGTTCCCTGTGAGCACCAGCTCCTGTCTGCCCACCTCTGCTGCTGCCTCTGATCAGCGGCAGCAGCTCAGGGACAGGTGGCTCTGTGAGAACTGATATGCACAGAGAGCTAGCTTGAAAGCCACTTCTCGTGTGTACCGGTTTCTACACGCCCCCTCCCCCCCATGCTACTGCTTCTCTATCAGAGGCAGCAGAGTGGTGGGGAGAACAGGTGGTTCCACAGGAGCTGGCTTCTCACACGTATCGGTTCCTGCCTGCCCCTCCATGCTGCTGCCTCTGTGGGAGGCAGCAAGGGGAGCAGGTGGCTCTGCAGGAGCTGGCATGCTCAGGGAGCCAGTTTAAAAGCTGGCTCCCTACGGGCACCGGCTCTCACCTCCCCTACCCTTGCTGCCTCTGATACAAGGGGAAGAGGAGTTGTGTGTAGTCGATATGATTAACCAATAAGCCCAGGCTTATCAGTTAATCATGTAAGCAACTACACACTAATATCCCTACTGGGGGCATCTTAATTTTCCTTCTCAGTCTCCTGCTACAAAAATGGCACTACCTGGTTGAAACTGTGCAATGCTTATTACATTTTGAAAACTTTTGCAAGAGTTTGTTGTCCAAATAAACCAGGGTCCTTTTGGGGGGCCTAGTAGCCCCCATCTGTGAGAGGGTTTTGTGAGCATTCTGCTGTCAGCACTGACAGCCATTAATTAATCATGACTGGCCTCCTGTGACATAGGGTGCTATTATTATCCCCATTTTACATACGGGGAAACTAAAGTCAAAGAGGGGAGTCAGTATCAGAGCAGGGATTAAAATGCGGGATTTCTGTGTCTTAATTCTGTGCTTTGTCCACATGACTACATCACTGTGTTAACTGAGTAGCCCCTCTTTGTAGCCAGCAGTCATACTGGCTGCTCAGCTACATGTAGTTGCTGAGACAACTCTCACGGGGCCTCACAAAGTTAGATCTTTCCAGAAGTTCAAAGGACCTGTGCCCATGACTTTTTGCTTAACTCAAACAATTTTGGGGGGACGGGGAATTATGGATGACTGATAATATTTAGGAACAATCAGTAATAAGCTTCCAATTCTAGCAATAAATTTATGTTGCAAAGGCTATCTTGGTGAGGGAAGGGCTGTAAACCTACATGAAAAAAGCAGAAATTTTCCCTGGAAGTTGTGGGGTTTATGAGCCCAAGGCTGGGTCTGATTATGATACTTCTTTAGCATGTTTCTTTATCTGGAGAATTTCCTTCACTGCCTGGGAAAGTTACTCATGTATAGAATGTATGCTGCCAGAATGAGTCAGCCACCTTATGATCCACTGGAACATGTACTACGAAGAGGCAGCTCAATGACATAAATGTCAGTTCAGGAATAACTAGATTCTCCAAAACCTCAGATTCAAATCTTGAGTTAGGCAATTTAACCTTTCATTTTTCTGAATTATATATAGTGAGTATCATGCCATTTATTCTATGACAGTTCACTGCATAGCAAGCTATCTCCCGACCCCCATTAGTGATCTTGGATGACAGAAAATATTCTGTTCTAAATAGGAAGAGTTTACTCAAATTTCCCCACTCTCAGGGTACATCTATACTTATCGGAGGTTGATCTTCTGGCATTCAATTTAGCATGTCTAATATAGACCTGTAAATCGAATGCTGAGGGCAGCTCCCGCCAGTGTCCAGTACGCCTCCTTTTGCGGGGAGTAAGGGAAGCCTACAGGAGCATCTTCCCCCATTGGCCTCCCACTGTGTGGATGATGCCAACGCTTGGCTTAATGTAAGACAACTCCAGCAATGCATTTTGCATAGCTGGAGTTGCGTACCTTAAGCCAATCATCTTGGTCTAATGTAAGCCAGTCCTCAGTGCTTCTATCACCTGTCATGCATTGGTTAGATCGGGGTGAGCAATAATTTTTGGTGGGGGGCTACTTGAAGATTTTGGTAAATGATCAAAAGCTGCACTTTTCTGTGGAGGGGATGTGGGGTCTAAGATGGAGTCTGGGTACAGAAGGGCACACAGGTAGGAGATGCTGTGAGGTCTGAGAGGGTGTTTGGATGAAGGAAGGGGTTGTGACTTGGGGCAGCAGAATGGGATGCAGGCTCTGGGATGGTGATTGGGTGCAGGAGAGGATTCTAGCCTGGGAGAAAGGTGTGGGCGGGGTACAGAATCTGGGAGGGAGTTGTGACCTGGGGCAAGGGATGCAGAGGGTTTGGAAGGTGGCCTGGGGGAGGGAGTTGGGATGTGAGAGGTGCAGTGGTGCCAGAGGCAGGCTGTGGCTGGGAGGCACTTATCTAAACATCGCCTGACCTGCAGCACCCTCAAAGCAGGCTGGGCTCCAGGCCTGCAGCAGCCTCAGATCGCTTGAAAATACAGACTGTTCCCTCTATGTGGCTCTCATGTGGGGGAGGGATAGCTCAGTGGTTTGAGCATTGGCCTGCTACACCCATGGTTGTGAGTTCAATCCTTGTGGAGGCCGTTTAGGGATTTGGGGCAAAAAATTGTCAGGGGTGGTACTTGGTTCTGCTGTGAAGGCAGGGATGGGACTCGATGATCTTCAAGGTCCCTTCCAGTTCTAGGAGATAGGCAATCTCCATTATAAATAATAAATAAAAACTCTGGGTGGGGGAAGAGCCTTGCGCTGCCCCTGTCTCCCAGGCCAATCTCTCAGCTCTGATTGGCTGGCTGTTTCCAGCCAATAGGAGCTGAGAGATTGGCTGATGTCAGTTTTTATTGGGCCGTTGTTTCTGGCCAATAGGAGCTGAGGATTGGGCTGGGGGTGGGGCGATCACACGAAACTTCCCCCCTCTCTCCAGAGTAGAGGAACGTAGGGACTTCACTTTAAACTTGAGTAGCTGCATACCTGAGGATCCTGGCAGGATGGTCCGCAGACCAGATCTGGTGGCTTGGCGGGCTGGATCTGGCCCCTGGGCCATATTTTCCCCAGCCCTGGATGAAATGCTGCTCTCCACCCTGAAAGGGCTTCATTTCAGTGGAGTGGGTGTTTCTGTATACAAATGGCCTGATTTTGGATTTCACATACAGGTGAACATGAGAGGTAGTTCAGTTTATATCAGTGGACCAGATTTTACTCTTAAGTTATGTCTGTATATGTCCAGCAAAATTCCATTCACTTAAGTGGTCCTTGGATTTTCAGCTCTACATTTGAGAGCAAAGATAAGATGAGAATCAGACCCAGTATAGAATTTGTGGTGTACTTATGTAGTCATTGATCCTATGGAAGAAACTATACCAGTATCAGATATTACTATATATTTTAGAAATGTGACTGTCTCTCTCTGGCCGTCTGTGAGTCTGTTTGTTGAGGAATTCCTCCTAGAAATGATAAGAGCTAAGACCACCAAATTTGGTGTTCTTACTATAACTTAAATCAAGATCAGGATTTGGTTGTGCCAAGACAATGGGATGTGACTAGAATTTGATGGTTTCCCATAAAATGGAAAGCGAGGGGTCTGGTAGAAGGGAGTTCTACAATAGAATGATCACAGAGGGAAACAAAGGGCCAGAGATGGGGACCAGGACAGCTAAAGCCCCACTGGGCCAGCAGGGGGTAGGGATGGAGAAAGGGGCAGTTACTTACTATATATTTCACAGTAAAGTTAAAAAACAACAAATGGTCTGGTAGCTCTTTATAGACTAACAAAACATGTAGATAGTATCATGAGCTTTCGTGGGCACAGCCCACATCTTCAGATAACCAGAGTTTTGCATTTAGGATGTTCAGACCTGAAATAAATAGGGGAGAAGGGAGCGGTGGGGCAGGGAAAAAATGGAAGGGGGCG